CTCTACAGTACCTTGCACAAAATGTGGGCTGTTCCAAATAAAGCAATTTCTTGCACTTCCCAGTCTTTTCAATGACCTGGGTGTTTAGTCAAGATCTTACACTTTTCCGCAAGAAATCCCGGAGCTTCAATGACTATCGGTGCGACCTATGCTTTTACGCCCCACATTCGGCTGATCTCAATCTCCAAACTCTTGTATTTAAGTCGATTTTCTTCCTCGTTGGTTACGACGTTTCGATCGCAAGGCACAGCAAGTTCTTCAAATAGACACTATTTTTTCTCCAAATCCCGGATAACAATATCCGGTTTGTTTGCAGCTATCGTGCGATCCGTTTGAATTTGTTAGTCGTACAATATTGTATACAGTCCAACTGATGTCACCGGTTTTGGTGAGTGTTCGTATCTGTTGGGGCATGTGTTAAGAACGTCGAGGCGGTATAAATCTGCCAGTGTAGGTGACTACACACCCTGTCGTGTTTTTTTCAAGTATTCGGTCTTCGCTGGAATTGGAGAAGCTGAGACAATATGATCAATGGTTTCTACTTGTTACCGGCAGATGTGGCATTTATCATCTTGGGAAATTTTGAGAACCGATTTATCATAATGTCATCTCATGATTCGTTAGACGTTATCAGTTCAAAAAATTGCAATACGGTGGTTTCAATATTCTTCCAATTCAGCCCATTGATGTCTGCCTTAATGATTGTATGATGTAGATTTGTTACGAAAGGAAATAGATTCTAGCAACGTAATAAATTTAACTTAGAACTAACAAACACAGTTCTTTACTTTAGGAAGTTTTGTTCTCTGATTATTGGATTCAAAAATTGAAAGCTCTCTTCAATGTAGTCACGGCAGGCTGGCGTGAAATTATTCCTGCTTTTTGCATTCTGTGCTGCAAATACATAGAGTAAGAGTTACATTTATTCATGCTTTTTTCATTTCTAAAGGTAAGAAAGGACTACAAAAGGGCGTCTTTTCTTGACTTCTGAGCTCCATAATGCTCAACCAGCACGACTCGGCAGGAACTTGCACGGAACGGAATTGCAAGATTCTCCGGTTTGCCTACTATTGCTTCCTAATGAGTTCTCGCGTTTTCTTTGTTGCTTGCTGTGTCGGAGTGTTTATTTGTTATTTTAGATATTTTGCCTCCCTCTCGGCTTTACGATTAGGATTTTGGTTTTGATTTCATATATTATTTGGATTCTGGCAAGTCATTTTTGGATTGCCTTCTGGACTACGATTTTTATTTTTTGGTAATAATTAGAGACGATAAAAATGACAGAGCCAGACCCAAGACCCTTCCAGGAGGTTGGTAGGACACATCCAAAAAAAGTATCTACACAACGTGAAGGGGTGCAAGAAACGTAATTTCAAAAGTTGCGAAACTGTGAAATCCAAAAAAGAACGTCTTGCTTGTTTACATGAGGCGCAGATGAAAGCTTCTATATAGTGTGGACTTTTCAAAGAATTCAAAAATTGAAAAAAAACAACACCCAAATCAGTCTTTGGAAACTTCTGGCAAAAAGGAGTAAATAGTTATTACTTTTATGTAATTGAGCTATTTTAGTGAAACGTGAAATGCAGTATTACATGAGGAAATTACTGTTTATTATACGAAATATTAATTTCTCATTGTTCATGGTGAGATGAAGCTGGAAGGAATGGTCGACGAATTCGGCAAGCGTGTCATACGTGATTGCATCAGTGATTTTTATACAGTGTAAATAAAATGCCTACAATAAACGAAGTTTTGCTAGTTTTAAATATTAAAATCAATTGGCAGTGGCGAGCGACTCTTCTCAGAAACATTTTATAAGACATGGGTTTTACGTGGAAGAGAGTGCAGAATAAGCGCACTCTGTTGTTAGAAACGGGCGACATTGTCGATTGTAGGTGTCGCTTCCTTGTTAAAATGAAGCACATAAGGGAAGACTGGCGGGAAATTTTTTACATTGACGAGACGTGCAGAGAGAGTAATCTGATAACTGGGAAACGGTAAGAAAGAAATGTACGTACGTACTTGCAGTTACTGCTAGAGGCACTACTTCAATAAAAATAAATGTTGCTAGTTTTGGTTTCATAAATGGTTTCATTGCACAAGCCCAATTAATATTTTGAAGTCGAATCCCTAAAAGGCGATTGTCTGTTTGCACTGGCACAACAGCTCCTGACTGGGCCAAGGCCTACCATCGTCTCTCCGGCCTTGCGGTCGTGGGTACGTATGGTACATATGTGGAGTGTTATTTTGTTTTGTCAACTTCTGAGCACATCTATACTACTCCGCAAATATGTATATCAAGGAAGTAACTAGTGGGGCCAAAACAGCACGTACTTTCTCGCTTGTACTTTCATGCAAAATTACTCGAAATGTTCTGAAATTTTCGAAAAATTGTACATAACCTTATTTCAAAATATCTTTTAAAGGAACAGATGTCATTAAGGGAAAATCTCTATCTTCATAATTGTAGTTGAAGGAAAACTCCGAAAACATTTTGAATTTGCCAATTTTCAGTTTTCAACGAACCATGCACCTGTACCATTCTCTCAAACGTATTTCACGCTATCCAAATACACAATATAATCAAAAGCGATGGAGCTATTGTTTTGAAAATTTGGAAAATGTCCCAATAGTTTCATTTAAAGTACCCCCTCCCCAAATTAAAATTTTAATTTTAGAGTTAAGGGTCTGCAACATAAGCCAGAACAATTGAGTAAAATTCATTTTGGACAAAATCCCTGAATGGTTTATTCGCTTGCGTTATTCACGGACGGGCTGACGTTTTGAAGTCATTCCATTTTCCTGTATCAAGGACCCACAAAATATGGATTCATACTACATGTGTTAGAGAATTGTTGTGTCTAAATTTAGCAACTAGATTTATCAATTTTGTTTGTTACCATGTCCCTGTAGTAGGAGTAAGAGCTTTCTGCCAAAAATTCACCGTTTTTCCGCGCTCTATTACAAAACTTTCTCTCTACTGCGTAAGCGGTAGCGAAAAAGTAAAACGTTTAAACTTCGTTTTCCCCCTACTCAAATACTGGACAACGTCATGTAGATCGTCAGCTATTTAATGGATGGTTGTGAACAATAAATTCCTGGGCATTGTCGGATTTATTAGGCTAGTAGTAATATAGATAAATTATCCAAGAAATTCATAGTAGCAACTTTTACAATTAAAGTGACACAATCGTTTCGGGAAAGAAAATTGAGGTATCAGTAACAAAAACATTTTTTACTCCATTCATAAATAGATCATATGTCTCTGTCCGTAAATAAAAAGCCATAAACGCCTGCCTTGTAATTCATTTATTTCAACACTACAGCTTTGCAAATAATTGCTACAATTGTTGAATGTTATTGAAGCTATTTGGAGTTTTATAGATTCAGTAACAATATTTTAAATTGGTAAGAAAAACCTTGACTTAACTTTACTCTCTAAATGCTCCTCTATAAAATTATATGACTTTACAATTTCATAATGCAAGATCTCACTTCACTGAAAATATCTGATGTCATTCACTCTAACGTAACATAAAAAATTGAAGAACCATTTTGTATGAAAGAAAACTATTTCCTAAAGATGTAGAAGTTTCTAGTTTTGAAGAACGTCAATACATGCTTTTTTTTTTTGTTTTCTTTAGCTAAACTGAGTGCTGTACTCCCACCTTTATCCGTTAGTTTCTTCTTCGCTCCTCTCTGCAACAGCTCCTTTACGCATTCGGCGTACCCTTGCCAAGCTGCACGATGCAGCGCCGTGCAGTTGAAGTTGTCTCTTGCATTGACGTCAACTCCAGCGTCCAGCAGCGCGACGATGCAGCCTCTGTGTCCTCCCTCTGCGGCCGCCCGCAGCGCCTTTTCACGCGACTCCTTCGCGCCCGCGCCTACTCCAAGCAGAGCCTTCACCACTTCCAGGCGCCCATCTCCAGCGGCATCCACAAGCGCTTCTCCCCCCGTTGGCCCCAGCGCCAAGTAAAGGGCCTCGTCTACGAAGCTCCACACCACGTCCGCACTGCCAGCCTCAATAAGGCAACACTTCAAATGTTCTATATTGTCTGA